CTCCTCAGGGCAATCACTGTCTGTTATGTCGTGTTTGTGCAATGCCTAGCAGAACATGCCTCTACTTTTTCTTGCCTTCTGAGTGCTGTCTCAATACAAAATAAGTAACATCATTATGATTCCATTGTACTTCCTTCTTGTAATCTGGCTTGTCACAATTCAAAAAATAACACCACCAAGACTCTTAGCTATAATATAAGAACTGACAGCAGCAAGAAGCACTATTTTTTATTCTGAAAGGGAGTCTCCTGATACAAGTAGAATTTAAGACTTTTGGGAGACCAAGTACAATTCATAATTTATGTGGCTCTATGACAGGTAGTGCAGTCTTCGAATAGAGGAATGTCTAACATCTATATTGCTTATGTGAGTTAAATGAGCTGTGAGCATTTGTAGGTAATGAACTGTAAGTTCTACTAATACTGAAATTTAGAAGGTTATTGTGGAAACCTGGACAAAGCTATGTTTGAATTTAGCCTATTAGCTCAAAATAGATCATCTCCACAAATTATGAATTTTATATTCATGAATATGCCCCCAAAATTATAGAAGTAAGAGCAGCAATAATTATAGTACATAGTATGTAATCACTATTAAATAGGAGAATATTTCTTTGTTCAAGCAGTCCTGTTGGTACCAGGCTGAGTCAATTCACAGGAGTGGAGATCAAGGCTCAGACATTTGTAGGCATTTGGAATTTGAATCCTAAGTTTCAAAATTAGTTTGCACACCACATTCCCATTACTTATTCTTGTGATTTTTGTGATCAGCTTCATAAATGCATGAAGTATATAGCATTTTAAATAGCCAAAGTACCTTAGAGTCATTACTGCTAATTTTGTCCCTTTTATTACCCCACATAAAGAATAATTTCTTATTTCTCCCCTATTTTTTCCCCTTCAGAGAAGTATTATGTTCAATGATAAATATTGAGAATTTCCAGGGCCTCTCAAGTTAATGCCTGATTAACTCCTGCTTCAGTTTGATGAGATTTTTCTCTGTCCTGAAACTGTGCTTGGAAAGACTGTGGAATGGCAGATTATGAAACAGAGCTGTAAGTGCCAGAGACAGGAGGACAAGACTAAAAATCTGAACAGGTGGGAAACAATGTCTGAGAGAATTAGGAGCCAAGGTGTTTTACCTACACAATCCGCCTTTGTTTGGGGTGAATCAGCTGATTCCCCAGGCGGGAAGACAGACAAACAGCAGAAACTGAGGGACAGGTTGGATTCACCTGGAGCTCTCTGCAACCCTGATGAGTATGACATCTGTCCATATCTGTCCTAGGTGAACTCTCTAAGATAACATGTTCTAAAAATAACAGCACTTGTATCCATGCTTGCCTTCCAGGCCTGGTACAGATGTTCTCAAGTTTCCATGCATTACTGCTTCCATAATCAGCCTCTTCCAAGTTAAAATGAGGACAGTTAACAGGATTGCAGGATGCAAACAGCATCTTGTATATACAGCTTGCCCAAGCCAGGGCACATCATACTTTTCTTCAGAGTGGGTCTGTAGGTGCTGCAAACTGCATGTTTAGCTTGTGCCTGAGGTGGTGAAGATTGACTGCCATGGTCTGAAATATCCATCCTTACCCCATCTGCTGCTGCTTCTGTGAGGATGAGGAAGGGAATGGCAGCCCATATAAATAGCCCAAATCCAAAGCAGCTGTCGTCCTACCAACATACCTGCCTCAGCTCTGCCAAGAAAAGATCAGAAAGCTTCATTCTCTGAGATCCACCGATCTTTGGGTTCTGCTCCTGGTGCTGTGTTGTATTCAACTCACATTTTCAGGAATTTCTCTTTACCCTTCCTTATTCGGGAAGCTTCTGGGAAGAAAAGCAGGTTAATTAGAGGCAGGGAATAGGAGATGGAAGTTAAGATGCCTTTGGTGGTGGGGAGGAGGGTGGAGAACTCTTTCTAGGATGGATTGTGAAGTATGGGATGCGGTGGAGAGAAAACATGTCAGAAGAGGGACAGGATGGAGGAGGTGGGGAACATGAAAAATCCCTGTTCCTCACAGTACCTTTCTAAGTGTCTTTCAGACATAAGACCTAAGCTTCTATTTTTTTTCATGGACAGCTTGCTCCCAGGCCTTCTCATTTAAACCTGCTTAATACTCTTTTGACTTCTACCAGCCTTTTCCTTCCCATGGCAGCTTCCCATGCCATGTCTTCCAACCCTGAAAAATATGAACCTTTTTCTGCCTCGAGACAGCAACAATCAGTTTTGTTTTCAAAGCTATGTAGCTTCTAGTCTCCTGTGCTATAAGATAGTCCATTAGTGTGGAATCATCTTGTTGTTAATGTGCATCATAGGAAACTATTATAATCTTATTGAAAGTAACTAATTGACTTACCTTTAATGCTGAACAAGTTCTAAATAGGCATCTTGAAAAACTAATGCTGCACAGAGATGTCCATTACATCAAAATTCTTTAAATCAGACTTCAGGTAAATGGAATACTAGTGAAGGGCAAGGGCTTTTCTTGTTTTCTCAACATGTCTTTGCTGAACAATAAATATATTTCTATTAGAGTGTGACTGGGAAGTAATCCTGTAATAAAATACACTCAAGTCTTTTTCAAAGGGAAGTACTTGATAAAAGGGGGCACTGTCAAGTGTGATCTGAAAGGAAACTCTTTAGAGTGTCTACCTAGAGGAGCATATGCCAAGGTAAAATATTCCATTATCAGATATAAAGTATCAGCTGTTGGTTTGTTGCGTTATAGTAATGATCCATCTTGAATCTACAAATCAGTCTATCTGATTTCTATGCTGTGTTTCAATGCACAGTGGCCTGTTTTGTCTGTGCTTTTCCATTTTTTTTTAATTGTCTGTAGTGTTGTTAAGTACCCAAGAGAGCCAATGGGGTTTGGCTGAATGTGGGAAGAGTACACTAAGCAATTAAATTCGAAACTTCTAATCTATCCTTACATTTAAAATGTTGCTGTGTTCTATGAAAATATTAATCCAGGAGTGATAATGACAATCTCAAATTCTTTATAACAGCTTTTCTTGGCCATTAAACAGATGTGTAATGTAGTTAAGATGCATAGAATACAATATGAAAAAAGGTTAATTCTCTTTAAAACCATTTCTTAAGGCTGAGAACACAGATTTTATTTATACACACCCCCACTATCACGTCCCCTGTCACAAGTACAACTGTGCAAAAAACAACATTCACTGTTCTGGTAAATTTTGAAAAGTTTAATAAAAAAAGACAACAGGAGACAAAGACAATAAAAGAAAGGGTTAAAATGGCCGGGTGCTTGGCACTCGGCCAAGAGCACACCTCTTTTTTTGTTTTGTTTTTGTTTTGTTTTATTTTGTTTTGGGCATTTTGGAAACACCCTTTGTATATCATTTCTATCACAGCAACTTGATGCATATTCATAGACTTTATGCATATTCAAACTTTTCTATTAACTAGTTTACATTTTCCAGGAACTGTTTTGCATGGCCACTCCTTGGATCTGCCTTTTTAGAGCATGCACATTTCTTGGCTTGTGGTTTTAATTCCTTTCTTATCATCTTTTAATTTGTGCTGCTTTGGTTCCTTCTTTCCACAGGCAGTGAGTGTTGATAGCAGTCAGGTCCCCATCATCTGTTCACTGGAGGTTACCCTAACCAAGCAGGCAGTTCAAGCATACTATATCAACTATTCCCTAAATTTTGCTAATAGCAGGAGAAAAAAACTACATACACAGCAAAGCCATTTTAACATTATACATGTAACATTCATTTTAATACTTGTGAAAAGCCAATATTATAATATGTATTTATAACAATCGGCATGTTGCTCTTAGTGGGCTAAGTTAAAAGACCACAACGAGTCAGACTGCTGTTACCAGGATGCTATATGGATCAGGACAAATTTTACACAAAGTATAACCAACTAATTGTTTTTAGACCCTTCATGAGGAGTTTAATTTCCTGGTGTCACAAAACCATGACACCATCCATGAGCAGCTCTAATTATTATCCGTTATTCTACAGTTAAAGAAAACTGGTATACAAAAGCCAACTGGACATGGTTGTGGCCAGCCTCCTCTAGATGACTCTGCTTGGCCAGAGTTGGTTGGACAGATGATCTTTGGAATTCCCTTCAGTATCAGCCATCTGGTGATTTCTAAACCAGAGCTTATGATGCCTTTACCTAAATGGAATTCCAAGACAAGTGTTGGATATGCTTGGACATTAACAGACAAATATTTTATGGCATTTCTAAATTCTTTAGTGTTGTAAATCTTCCCTGTGCAATCCCATGACAGTTAACCATTTCCTTTTTATACTTTTAATAGACAGACAGTATCTTTACATGCTTCTCTACAGACAGAAAAAAAAAATAATTCAGGACTGTACCTTACTTACACTGCAGAACTGTAAGGCTTGCATGTGTCTTGGTTTAGAAGACAAGTGTCAGCTAGGGAGGGCAGGAGCCTTTCTTGGAATGAAAAATGTAAACTCCCTCCCTCTGAATTATTATAATTTTGGAATTAAGGGGTTCTCAGACAAAGATATGGGGATAGGAATAACAGTTCTTTACTACTGTGTATAACAAGGCAAACAAACAACAACAACAACAGCAAAACAGAACCAGGGACCCCATGACAGCCTTCTCGACCGAGATGGGAAGGGATGGAGGAGAGGCTTTGCTTCACAAACCCCCTCGGGCGGGCAGTCTGGGTGCTCCTGCAGGACTCTAAGAAACAGCCAGGTGGAATGGCTGGAATGTGCAGAAATCCTGGGTTGGTGGACAAGGTGTATCAGAAGCTTGGTTGTGGTGGCTGGCACTGGCAGGACAAGGGGTGTGGAGCCCACAGAAGATGAAGAAGAGAACGCAGAAGACAAAGAAGACAAAGAAGAAGAAGAAGACGAAGACGAAGAAGAAGATGAACAAGAAGATGAAGATGAAGAAGAAGAAGACGAAGACAAAGACGAAGATGAAGAAGAAGAAGACGAAGAAGAAGAAGACGAAAAAGAAGACAAAGAAGACGAAGAAGAAGAAGACAAAGAAGAAGAAGACGAAGAAGACAAAGATGAAGAAGACGAAGAAGACGAAAAAGAAGATGAAGAAGACAAAGAAGACGAAGAAGAAGAAGAAGAAGAAGAAGAAGAAGAAGAAGGAGAAGAAGAAGAAGAAAATGAAGATGAAGACGAAGACGAAGAAGAAAACGAAGACGAAGAAGATGAAGAAGAAGAAGAAGAAGATGAAGAAGACGAAGACGAAGAAGACGAAGAAGACGAAGAAGATGAAGATGAAGACGAAGAAGAAGACGAAGAAGAAGAAGAAGACAAAGAAGAAGACAAAGACGAAGAAGGCGAAGAAGAAGAAGACGAAAAAGAAGACGAAGAAGGCGAAGAAGAAGAAGACGAAAAAGAAGACGAAGAAGAAGAAGAGAAAGAAGAAGAAGAAGAAGGAGAAAACGAAGACGAAGAAGACGAAGAAGACGAAGAAGAAGAAGATGAAGACGAAGAAGAAAAAGAAGAAGACGAAGATGAACACGAAGAAGAAGAAGACAAAGAAGACGAAGAAGAAGAAGACAAAGAAGAAGACAAAGAAAATGAAGACAAAGAAAACGAAGACGAAGAAGAAAACAAAGACGAAGAAGACGAAGAAGATGAAGAAGAAGACGAAGAAGATGAAGAAGACGAAGATGAAGATGAAGACGAAGAAGACGAAGAAGAAGACAAAGAAGATGAAGATGAAGACGAAGAAGAAGAAGAAGACGAAGAAGAAGATGAAGAAGATGAAGAAGACGAAGAAGACGGAGGAGGAGGCGGAGGAGGAGGAGAAGGAGAAGAAGAGGAAGAAGAAGAGGAAGAGGAAGAAGAAGAAGAAGAAGAAGAAGACAAAGAAGAAGAAGAAGAAGAAGAAGACAAAGAAAACAAAGACGAAGAAGAAAACGAAGACGAAGAAGACGAAGAAGACGAAGAAGAAGACGAAGAAGAAGAAGATGAAGAAGAAGAAGAAGACGGAGGAGGAGA